TAACTCTAGGTATCGACCCACTCTGGATGAGACGACTGAGCATTAACCTAACATTCTTCTTTAAAATATTGCATAAAATATCATTCTCAGACAGCAAAGAGATACAGTTCTCACCGGAAGGTTCTTACAACCTTCGTAACCAAACGTGCAAAGTATCTAGGAAAAACTGTAAAACAGCACTCCGTGCAAACTTCTTCATACTCATGTACTCTAAGATCTGGAACAGTTTACCCCTAGAAATAAGGACCTGTCACTCTATCATAACCTTCAAACGCTCGCTATATAAACTGCTTCATCCAAATGACTATGCCAATCACACCGCACCACTTATTTCCAAAACGCATGAGCTATTAGCACACTATAACGCCTAGACTCATTACTAACTATTACGACACTAAATAAACTCTAAGACTTCGCAAAATTACATGAAAAACAACTAGATTATGGGTAGTGTTTACTATACAATGATATACATTTATAAACATTTATATGTACATAAAATAATAATGTTCTTTCCATATTTACATACTTTATCTCCCTGCTGAGCGTAATCTTCTATATACCTCCTGGTCGAGGTCGAACAACCCAACATCCAAACTGAAATGACCATTTAAGTAAATTCAAAATCAAATTCCATGAACGATCCGATGCAACCACTTGAAAACGCTGGCTAACATTCTGTACAAGGAGTATTCTTGATCTGATATAAAGAAACAACTGGTTTTCAAGTAGTTTTCAATGTATTACTCAACTTACATGTACAGTCTGCCATGCTGACGCAAATGGCGCAAATGGATAGTTCTAGAATTGACCCCATTTGATGCAGTAAAACAATCTAACATTACCTTATCTAACTTTCGTATCAAAGATCAAATTTCTTTCCTATTATAAAACTACGATAAGACTGCTGACAAAAATGGAATAAATACATTATTGAATCAAAATAATACATCAATAAACTTTATCTCACGGATGCTGTTCACAACAAAGTTATATAGGAGAATTGACTTCAAGCTTTATTTTTCCCAGATATTTGTATCACACTCATCTGAAGTCTGGGTTTTTTGTTAATGCGAAGACAATATTTCTATATCTCTTTATGTGTTACACAGACAGACTATTTTGCAGACTGTTCTGACTGACTCTAATGTTAGATTGAACAAACAAACTGTAATTTATATAATAACTTATCCATGCCTGTACAATTGGTATGTTCCTGCATAAACAGGAATAAATATATATATAACGAATCTTTGGAAAGCTTATCAGAGTTTCAGATGGTGAACTGATGAAAGTTGAAATTAGATGTCAGTCACGATATTAAACTAAACCCCTCGCTTTAGACAATCTTTGTCTTTGAATTATCCTTGGAATAGAATATAACAGGATCTGCCAAGCGATAGTTCATAAAAGTGAAAATGTCAGCTGAAGGCAATTGATAATAATAATAATAATAAACGCATTTATGAAATCCTAACAATTCATGCTATATTACGTAAACCAAGTTTATAATGCATCAGCCTTAAATTTTGAGCTAAATTAACCGGAGAAAGTGAAGCTTTACAGTCGAGATGGTTGTGAACTAAACTTTGCGGTGCTTTTAGAAGACAAATCGTGCAATGAAAGAAAATGTTAAAGGATGGAGCTTCTACTTCACTCAGTTATCCACATGTGAGAGTAGACTATTGATGAAGCAAAGTAGACACTCACTTTTGAAAGTCATTGCAACATTCTAAAAATACCACTCGAAAACCTGTTTCCTAGAAAATTGTACTCAAATACCTCTGCAGGAATTAAAGCTGTTCATATCGCCTAGAAGTGTTTATGCATAACCGCTTGTCTGCTTAACAATATGTCACCTTCAAATCACAGTTTATCATACGCAATAAGTATAATCTAATGTGACTAACCAACTGACTGACTGACAAATCACAGTGGAATTAGTTCAAGATGCCGCTTTTGGACAAAGCATACACGAAATAAGAGAAAAGAAGAGCGGTGATACTGCGAAGGAAAAACCTCATCGCAAAAAGGAAGAAGGTCAAAAGAAGAGTGATGCAAACACTCCTAATATTTAGGGTGATAAAGAATGAATATATTTATACCACTATAAACCGTTTTGAGTCATATTGTAACGACAGAAGACAAGGACCAGGCAACAAACAGATCGTTTATTGAGAAAATCACCAGGTATTTAAAGATTTTTATGTGCATTATTATTAGCGTTATTGTTAGCGGAGTAGCAGCCCTTTCTGATTGGTGGTTTTCTTGCTGAAGGTTATTTTGTTATCTCTCTGTGGCCGTTTCTCAAAAATTAAGTCGTATCATATGTCTGTGAATCATATTTCCACACCTTAACTCCGCTGTGATTGGCCGGTGATTTTCTCAAGGTCAGGCTTTGTTATTGTGTTTCTCATGACCCTGATATGGGACGTGAACATTGGCTCTCACCACAAAATAACCACTTGATTGGTATAAAAGATTTTGATGTAAAAATCTATATAATAATGCAGAGTCAACCAGTCAGTCAGCCATCCAGCCAGCCGAAGATGACGAAGAATTAACTGAAGTGAAGGAATGCGTATTTCTTTGCTCAATTTGTTGTTGTTTATTTTACTTTACTTATAACTTTCATCTTACTGACTGACAACATTTGTCTTATTTCAATACGAAAATAATTCCTACTCCGAATATATTTTATCATCCTGTAATCTGTTTCACTCATGTCTACTGAACTTTATATTAACTTTCATTCATTCATTCATATGTCTAATCAAACTTTTCACTCATGCAGATAAAAGAAGTTGGAAAGTTGTGTGAGTAACTTGATATTGATAATGCGCAGGAATAAATTGTACTGTAAACGTCATCAGTAAATAATACTGTGTAACACTGTGAGACTTTGATGATATTACACGTTTGGAGGCAATCGGCCTTCAACCTAGGTTTCGTGCTAGTTGACACTCATCAGCAAGGCGTATTTGCAACCTTGAAGGAACCCATATCTCTTCTGCAGAACTTGGTGATGCGAGTTCGAATGTTAGAAGGGACATGAGTTCCTTGAAACTTGCAGATACGCCTTGCTAACGAGTGCCAACTTGCACGAAACCTAGGTCAAACAAGGCTTGCTGTGGCCGATCGCCTCCAACCATCTAATATCATCAAATCAATGTGCACCATGATGGCAAGCTACCTAGAATGATGGCCACACTGCAAGCCTGACTGATAGAAATCAGTCTGCATCGAAGTAAGGACTAGACACATCGCACTAGTTACTGGTGTCCAATCAAATTGTGAGACTTTATCAAAATAAATTTACTGCATGATGGAACACGGGATGTAGAATCAAATAATTGATGCTTATTGATAAGTGGAAGATCACATGTGAGCTAGTAGGCTTATGCTTTTAATATTGAAGTAAAGACAGTAAGCTTTTTCAAAACGAAAAAAACGATTACTTTTCATCTTTGTTTCCTGTAAAATACCGTATAATGCAATCATCGAGTTAGCTTTCTCTTTCCTATCGTGTACTGCTGACTATCTGGCATTAAGATATATGAAATAAAAGCAGCTAATTCAGACCAGTTTTGTTATTATCAGAAGAGATAACCAAGCTCAACTGCTTAAGACGATAATAAGGTTGAAGTACAATATTTCCACATAATGCCCACAGATGACGAATCTTGAAATGGAAAAGATAATAACCAACAAACTGACAGAAAAGAGAGAGAGCAAAGACTGGACTTTAGGTGAACATAAAGAAGACGGAGGGGATGAAGATAACAAACAAAAGCAAGAGCAACAACAACCAAAACCAATCACCATCCACGAGAGAATTTCGAAAGAGCTTACTTTCTTTACTCATCTAGGAAGCATTGTTTCAACTGAAGACACACGGCACGGATGATTTCGAAACCAGAATCGGAAATCGGTTTGGAAATCTTCTGCACTGCTTAGTATAAAGAACAAGATTAGGATTTTCAAAACAAATTTTAAGTCAGTCACTTCTTCTATACTGGTCAGAAACTTGCACTGCACGTCACGTAGAGTATTTCCGACAGGCTAGTGCAGAGTTTTATCAGCAACTCACTTCGCTGACTCCTTACTGAAGATCAGATGACCAGCCGGCCAGAATTAGCAACAAGAAACTCTGAGAACGAGCCAACCAACCAAGAGCCTATCGTTTAACATATATATAGGAGAAAATGAAGATGGATTAGATATACACTGAGGAGACCGTCGGATGACATCGCACGCCATGCAGGCCATCGCTCGAGTGGAATCCCAGTGGGAAGCGACGAGTGGGTCGTCACATCGACGGTGACATGGAGAAGATCGTGTGAGGAAGAGGTGAGAGATTGTGGGCAGCCGTGGTCCAAGTTGAAGAGGACAACGTCAAGTAGAACAAAGTGGAAATGTGTTGTTGAAGCTTTATGTTTCACTCGGAACCCAAGGGAACAATAATAATACTACATTACTGTGTGATATTTAAAATAATCTTATCTAATATACAATCACTTTCTAGATATCTAATTATGACGGCAACTTTCCTCTTGTGACCAAATAAATAAAAATATCCAGCCTCCTGACATTGTTATTTTTTTCCTTCACGTTCCCCAGTGGAACATAGGGCTCCAAGCCTCCCGCTTGAAGTTTCTGCAGCAGTTTTAATTTTTACAGGATGGGGTTGCCAGCCTCATGCCCAACCTTTCCTCTTTACCAGCATTATTTCTGGCTTAGCGACGAAAAGGAGTGCGTCGGCCGGGGATCGAACCACGTACAATGTGCACGGTCGGCGAGCGTCCTAACCGCTATGCCACCACGCATTGTTATAGAAGACTGTTATTTCACTTAAATTCTAAAATTTATCAAATTCTTTCCATCGATCTTATGAACACATATTTTTATTGACATATACCATCCAAATCCAATAAATTACAACAAATGTAAGTAAATAAGTAAAGTGAGAAAAAAATGCAACTACTTAAATAACGACAGATCTTATATTCAACATATTTTTGTTTCAAAAAGAAGGTGATTTAATCTGTTGAAGTACAAAATCAATTCCTCTCCTTTTAAATACTGCTTGATTATTCGATAAGTTGGCTGAATTTAGCGGTAAATTCAAATAGAATATAATGGCGCCAAAAAAGAACGAATCAATAATACAGGTGTTAAAAATATCAGTATACATATGTTTGTTTATCCCTATGCCTACTCATCAGAATATACACTGAAATTAGAAAAGTTACACATTTATTGATGCGCATAATGTATATATATATGTATAGAGCAGTCTTTTGAACAAATAAACCTTTTAAATTATTACGCATTGACCAGTTGGACAACGAGGTGAATGTGAATAATTTTCTTTATTAGTTGGTATTGAACGATCTGGCTTGATGCTGTCTGTTTGGTCGTTTTCTTCTTTAAAAAGGTAAACAAAAGTTTTGAGTATGAAGTATAGTTGGAAAAATAAACTAAACTACATTACAGCTAGGTTTTAATAAAGTGCTAAATCAGAAATTCTGGAATTCCTTTGCACAATGAAGCAAACAAACTAGAAAACTGTAGGACTGAAAACTGAAAAACACTAAAAGTTTTGCACCTTCCTTTTGAATTTGAGGTTACTACCCCTTTCTAGATGATCGTACGAAAATCATCTTGACTGTTTGTTTCTCAATAACTGTTTCAACGTATTCACCTGTTTAAAAAATTTTTTTATTCCTTTACGTTCCCAGTGGAACATAGGGGGCTTCAAGCTAGAGCCAACTAGAAGTTTCGGTAGCAGGGGTGTTTATTTTGTACGGGATGGGGTTGCTAGCCTCATGCCCAACCTTCCCTCTTTACCAGTCTTAATACTGATTTGGCGAGGTAAAGGAATGCATCAGTTGGAGATAGAACCCCGGACCACGTGAGGCGTGGTTGGCCAGAATTCTACTGCTGTGCTGCTGACGCACGTATTCACCTATAGTGGTAAATAATTCCTCAAAATTATCAAACCACAGCATTATTCAGTCAATACTGAATGCTCACCTTCACTATTTAAGTCAACTTGTTAAGCTGAAGGTTCGTGGTCTGACATTCACAGCATTTGACGAGATGTCGTGTTACATTTGGGTTATTCGTACACGGTCCTTAGTTATTTAAGCAATCGTCATCGCTCTACTTTTCTCATCTTGAAATATATCTCGTATTTTAGACAATGAATTTGTTGTTTTGATTTGTCTTTGGTCTAAGCAGAACAAACACTTTGGGAGTTAGTTACAAGATAAACACTTGCGTCTGTATACATAGTGTCTTGTGTAACCGTCAACATGCCTTCAACTCCTAAAAATCTTTCTTAAGAAACCTGTCGATTCTGAGCATGACCAAAGAGCTAATCAAATTTCTCCTAGTCATCCAGACAATTTGTGATATTACAGTTATGATGACAAGCGCTGTTTCAATTGAAGAAATGACTCATTAGTATAAGCATTCGATTCGAGTATCAGATTCCAATCCAGCCTCAAATTATTTAATGCCAGCCCTTATACAACAGGTACGCATCATGGCCGCCTAATACATGAGAAGTCTGTTCTAGCTGAGTAATAACTAACTAGTAGCGTCGGTGGCATAGCGGTTAGGACGCTCGCCGACCATGCACATGGTCCGGGGTTCGATCCCCGGTCGACGCACTCCTTTACCTCGCTAAGCCAGAAATAATGCTGGCGAAGAGGAAAAGTTGGGCATGAGGCTAGCAACCCCGTCCTGTAAAATAAACACTGCTACAGAAACTTCAGGCCTCCGGCTTGAAGCCCTATGTTACGCTGGGGAACGTGAAGGAAAAATAAATAATAATAATAAAATAGTAGAAGAATTGCTAGAAAATCTAAAATTTATTTTTCATTATTGTTCTGAGTTGCTTATTCTACGATGATTACTAGTTGCCATTTCATAGGTTGATATTACTATGACTATCAAGTTAGCTAACGCTTTTCAGACGAAGACGTCTCACAATTTTATAAAACTCGCGCGGGAACACTATCCAGCATGGCTAGCAAACGGAGAACGCAAAAGGCGTATACAGTTCGACAACAGAACATCTGGTGAATTCTGGACATCCAGCCCCATATGAAAAGTCCTTCAAAGCCATTAATTATATCCGATCCAACCTACCAAAGGGAGTGAAATCAAGACATCCAGGAATAGCTGAGGCACTGGCGATCCAAAAACTCAAGCCTATTCTATGTGTCCAAAAGAAATACGTCCAACCGTGGCCATCATGAAAAGTCAGTCCCACCAATAATGATTATCCTACTACCTTTCTTGTCCAACCTTCCCGTTTATTTGTTATATTTACCTTTTAAATCCCTATCTGCTTTATTAGATTTGGTTACTGTTTTTTTAATTTTATATGTCCGAACCTCCTACCCATTGGGTTAATACTACATCCTTAACCCGTAATTATACAAACTGACTAGTTTTCTAGTAATTATAATCCTATTTTGTCTTTTCTATCCGATCTTCCTGATTAGTACACATTGTAATTTTTAATTTAACCTTTGGCCTGAAATATTTCTAGAATAGTGCCACCACCTATCTTCTGTTTATAACACTTGGTAATTTTATTGATCTGACCTCTGACCGGAAATAATTCTGGAACTTTCTCACATATGTTATATAAATACACGAATGTGCAGCCTAGTTGGTAACTTCGTCGAAAAGAAAATTTTGTTTGCTGCAATCGTCTTTTTAATAATTCAAATGGAATTATAGGTGATTGACTTCATAAATTGTATTACAGTAGATGCTTATAGCCTAACAATCATTGAATTGATCTTTTGAGGCAAACAGCGATGATGTACACTTTGATTGGTTATTAGAGTAGTAACTAGTGTAATGTGTTTGGTCCTTTGTTTGGTGCAGACTGAATTCTATTATAGTTGAGTTTGCAATGTGGCCACCATGACACTACCTGGCTCGCCATCATGTTTCACTGTGAATTGTTGATATTAGATGGTTGGAGGCAATCGGAAGGAAGTCTTGGAACCTAGGTTTCTTGCTAGTTGGCACTCACCAGTCAACAAGACGTATCTACAGTCTTGAAGGACTTGTTGTCCCTTCTGAGATTCGAACCAGCGTTGCCACCCAGTACTGCAGTCAGAAACGTTACCATAGAGGAGCTATTCGGAGTTGATTACACGAGTTACTATATAAATTCCAACCAAAGTATCCAATACAGTCCTACACAAGGTCAATCACTAGCCCCAAATAGCTCAGTGATGACGTCTCTGACCCAGCCAGCACTGGGTGACGACGCGGGTTCGGATCTCAGAAGGGACACGCATTCCTTCAAGAATGCTGATACGCATTGGTGACTGGTGAATGCCAACAAGCACGAAACCTAGGTTCCAAGGCTTCCTACCGATTTCCTCCAACCATATAATACCTGATGATATATGCTTATTCAAAAATAGTACATTCTGTATACACGTGTATCTGTTATGCGTGACTGTAGCATAGGTCAATATTCTGTCTATCAGGATACAAGTTATACAAATATTGACTGTCTGTCTATTGTCCGACAAGTAATCATTTAGATTTCAGACTTTTAGGCCTATTCTGGCTAGCTCCACAATTGCCCATAAGCTTTAGTTTCCTCCTCACACCATCTCCTCCATGTCACCTTCGTCACTTTCCCATTCGGGTTCCACTCAGATTACTTTACTTTATGATTAATTCTAATGCTACTATATGAATACGATTACTATTATTATTGTGATCAGACAGTCACCTGTCTCACTCTCTATTGAAATACACTTTCAGTTATCATCTTTCGAGTCTTTTCATTTACTAACTGGAGCCAAGGAAATCTGTTAGCGAGATTGTCGAACATTCATTATTATATTAATATCCGTTACTTGTGTAAATATTCAAAGAACATAACAATTCGCCTACTACTTACCTATTTTTGATGGAACATTCTCCATATATTCTTCATTTTTATTACCAGCTGGTAGATAATGCCCAACTACAAAGACAACATTTCCTTGTTCATGTATAGCAAATCCAAATCCAACTTTACGTGTGTCCCTCCAAATCATTTGAGTGAAATAACCTATTGAAAGGGAATAATATTCACAGATTACTTGGAAACTCAATGTTAGCATGTGTAATGCATGTATTTTGTTGAAATATGAGGACAAAAATGCGAATATATCTCCTTTTGAAACATATAAATAGATGATTTTAAACTAATATTGAAAGATAAGTCCAAAGAGCTGTACACCTAACACTGGTACTTAGAAGTTAATTGGTGGATGGTGACTAGCAGTGGAATCCAGGACAACACGCATTTCGTCCTATTTGGACTCGTCATCTGGATGCACCTGCATTCTGCAGTGACTGATGATGTTCCCATCGAGGCTCGAACCCAGCGCCCATAGTTTCAAACGCCAAAGCGTTATCCACTGGACCACTTGGAGCCGAAATGCGTATCCTGGATTCCACTGCTAGTCACCATCCACCAATTAACCTCTAATTACATGCCCAGACATCGTCGAAACATCTGCACAGGAAGCCGACATGCCAACCTGAGACTGAGCACTTTGGTCCAATCAATCGACAGGAAAATCTAAAATTAAATTAAATAAACACTGGTACATTGGTAATCATCAATACTGTAAGTTATTATTAACTCTCTTAATTAAGGTGTTAGAAGTCAACCATTAAGAATACCTACTTGACCTAGGTTTTGAAGTCTTCATCAGTCATCAATAAAGAACATTTGAAGTTATAATAAAATTCATATTCTCCTCAACACTTGAACCTAGACCACTCAGTGGTTGAGTCAAGCACTTTAACATTGGGCTTTCTGAGTCACCATTGATAACTTGTAGGATTTAGTTATCAGTATGAATCAAATGATCAGTGGTAACCTGTGTATCCATCCAGTCCTGAGTATTTCAATTAAGATCTTTGCGCCATACATACATCGTTCCCAGTGGATTAATTGACACGAAAGTACCAAATACTGTGGAAAATGTTTTAATTAGATACAAGGTTCAATACCTACTGATTTATATTCAAGTGTTGGTTTGCAGGGATTTGATTTGATGGTAACTCTAAACTATAGCAGCCCAAACCAAAACTACCCAGCGAACGGACACATGACCTTGACAACAACTTTGACCAATCAGAAGGCTCTATAAAAACGGTGCATAATTTTAATAAATCGTTTATATAAAAGTAATGCAATGTTAAAAAATAGTTACAAAGGATAACGTTCTCGTATATGTTCCAAAAAACCTCCCAATTTCTCATAGGAGTCTTGATACTTATGTTAAACCAAGTCCTGTACATAAACTCATCGAGATAACTGTATATCATTGCATTTCTTGATCCATTCACAGATCTGATCCATTTTTTGAGGTGACTCCAAAAACTTTCGATGGAATTAGTGTGAGTTCCATCGAAAGGATTGATGAAACCATTTGTATGGTTGACGACTTGATGAATATAGCCCTGATTTGATAACTACTGTAACTACTCATATTTAGAGTGTCAACTAGCTAATAAAAACCCTTCCTGACAATTTTTCGATCTTCCTATCAGTCCGTTCCCCGAACAGTAATTAAAAACAAGATCTGGAGCGAATTTGCAACGCAAAAGGTGTACAACATCCATAAGTACGTCTGGATAATACTGAGCCACCTGATTGGTTGCTCAAGGTCATTTGTCCGTTCACTTGGTACTTTCGGTTTGGGCTGCTATAGTTTAGAGTTACCGATTTGATTGGTTACAGGATTTCATCAGGAACTGATACCGGTTTTAGAACCATTGGAAAATCCTCAGGAAGTACTGGATAGCTGTTTCATCCTAGTTTTCGACTCCTCATTAGTACGCATCCAGTTCATGATGAAATCCTGTAACCAATCCACTGATTTATTGGAACAGCTAATGTCAAATTATAGTGTTTCATAGTGTAGATCATAATAGTGTGATATAGTTTAGTTACGTATCTTACTGTATACTTGATCAATAAATCTCCAGGAATACACACAAAGGTAGGCAGCTACTGGTTAACGTGAACTTCAGGGAAAATTGAAGGATTGAAGGTCGTGAAGAAGTTCAGACTAGTTCGCTGAACAAAACGCTGGAGTTATTTATTTCAGAACTGCTGAGATTTATACAAACATAGTTCCTACACATGCCTACCTTTTACTCGGCTTCTTACTGTTTGTAAAACTATTGGCGGCCTGCTTACAACTTGGGCTTCCGAAAACCTCCATCAGTAAGTTGCATATAGTTTCTTTTATTCAATTTGTTTAAATCTAGTAAAATATAACCTCTTATAGTGTTGTTGGTGATTCTGAACAATAGCAGCCAAAAACGAAACTTCCTAATTGAACGGATTAATGACTATAAGGAACCAGTCAGGTAAGTTCTTAGTATATAGTGGGAATTATGGATGCTGAACACGAATTAGGTAACAAATTGCAACCAAATCTAGTTATTAAGTACTTCTTAGACAACAGACTAATTGGAAGAGAGAAAGCATGCAGTCTACTGTCATCCCTGGGCTATATTCACAACGTGGTCAATTATACAGACGATTTCATGAATCCTTTCTATAAGACTCACACAAATTCCATTGAAAGTTTCTACAGTTACCTAAAAGAGAGGATGAGAGCGGTGAATGAGTCAAGAAACAAGATAACTTACAGTTATCTCGAAGGATTTATGCACAGAGAAGGAAGGTTTTCTTGGATCATATACAGAGATGTTATCCTATATAACTACTTTTTGATATTGCATTACTTTTATAGAAACGCCTTTTTGAATTGCGCACTTCCACTTTTGGTTCATCTGATTGGTCAGTGGAGATTTGTCAAATTCTTTATTAGTTAGTTTCGTTTTGAGCTGCTATAGTTTAGAGGCAACAAAACATTATCCTCAATGACAGCTTATTCCAGTACATGAGATAACCGTTCCTCAGTGGTGTCCCTCGTTTACAAAATGTACTCCTGAACTTTATATTATTGGTATTCAACAAAATGTCTTTGTGTATTTCTCGAAGAAGAAAAAAGAAGAGATACCATAATGGATGATTGGTTTGTGCTTAAGGTGAGATAGAAGTGTGTCACACAATCTACTGTCAATGAATATTTTTTTATTTGAAGAGCCTGGGCGAAGAGATAAATTGTCATGCAATAAACGCAACTGAAAATTCTCTACACTATATAAACATTGTTCAGAATAAAGCTATTACTATTATTTATACATAATCTCGGTCCATGTTCATATAAAGAGTATTACGAAACCACATGTCTGTTTTCACTCGGTTTTAACTAATATTTCAAGTTTTGTGTTGAGGAAAGTTTACATTTATGTCAGTGAACAGAACATGAACACCTCAAATTTTTAATCAATCAGAAGAATGTAGACAGGAAAAGGCATTACACAGATAAAGGATGTCAGCTCATGATGTAATCCTCCAAGCAATCAAATGAAACATTCTCTCTAAAACCAATACTGATGCTCACTAGCGACTGGCCCTATTCAGGTGGTAAGTTACCTGGGGTTCTAGTGGGAAGCCATGACGAGTAGAGTGAAGCAGATTGAAGGTGAGTCAGTAACTCATTGAAGAAGACATTGTGAATTGGTCTCGCTATGTTATGAATTGGCAGAAGTTAGAACTCAAAGACTGGCCATTAGATGAGGTCGCAGTGACTTATTGGTTTATGAGCTGGCCTTGCATCGAACCCGGTCGATGGGTGCTTGCTGGTGAAGAGCCCCGAAACTAGGTTTACGTAACAGCTGTGTAGTACTCCTTGCAGGTTTTCCAATGGTTCTCTAACCGATGTCCGTTCATGATGAAATTCTCCAACCAACCAAACCAAAATTCCCATCAAAGCCAATACTTGAAAACTAAATGATCATTCTTAAATTTAATCAAAAGTGAAGCCGAAATTGTCAGGAATGCGTTGCAGATTCTTTTCAGCTGCTGAATGACAAAAGCAGATGATTTTCAAATCCATGATCTTATTTTGGAGGATAAAATAACAACACAGCAGATAGTTGAGCGAAGAGTCTCTTTTCGGTGGCGAATTCATTTTCCTCTTTCACTGGACTATCGCATTTCTATACAATGTTTTCATGAAAGAGGGTTGTGACAAAAGTGACATGTAGTCATGAGCATAAAAGTAGTTGAATAAGTGTATTACAGCAACCTCTTTTACCACCTACCTACATGGGAAGCATCGTCATTTCAACTACAGGCGGAACTGACGAAGATATCAAAGCAAGGATCAGGAAAGCAAGGCAAGCTTTCATTACTCTCAAGTCTGTGTGGAGACTAACTGCAGTCAGCATGACATATGAGATCCGAATTTTCAACTCCAATGTGAAGTCAGTGCTACTCAATATACGGAGCAGAGACTTGGCGTCGCGTCATGAAGAACACTTCAAACAAACTACAGACTTTCATTAACAGCTGTTTTCGCTCAATACTTCGCTTAAGATCAGATGGCTGGCCAGAAAAGATCAGCAACAGTGATCTCTGGCAATGAGCGAGCCAACACCCAGCAGGAACCAGTTGTGCAACAAATATTTAGGAAGAAATGTAGGTGTATTGGCCATACTCTGAGGAAACCATCAAGTGACATCACAAGACAGGCCCTGGAGTGGGACCTGAATGGGAAGCGGCGAGTTGATTGTCAGTGTCAGGGTGACGTGGAGGAGGCGGTGATTCGAAGAGGAGATGAAAGGATGTGGGTAGACGTGGAGGCAGGTGAAAACGTTGGCAGAGAACCGAACGCAATGGAGGCCTGCGGTTGAGGCCCTATGTTCCTCTGGGAACTAAGGAAAACAATAATATTATTAAGTGTATTAGAGTTACGTAATATAAGGAATAATTTAATGTATAAGTTGTAATCAGGATTCACGTAGAAACGGGAAAAAATATGGAATAAAGTAAGAGTTCTAAAGAAATACAAGAGTTACAAAAGGTTAGAATGGCAAAGAAACAAACAAGAGTCAACATGGTTATTACCAATAGTATTAGAAGTGGTTGAATAATCTTCTCTTTTGAAAGTATAGCTCCGGAAAGAGCCTTTCCGTTGAACTACTTGCCGTGTTTTATTAATGTCCAGTTGAGGACTTTTCATGAATTAAAAAGTTGGAGGATAAAACAATAAATCAGTCTAAAATTAAGACTAATTGTAAGAAGGAAGAAAATGTCGAAGGTTGGATGATGTTTCAAATCGAACAGTATTCTGTCGGATGATATATTGTAGATTACTATTTTCCCCGAAGATTCCATATAAAAAGCGGAGTAAAGCACACACATTAAAAATTCTCTATCATATAGAAGAGTATTGCTCGGAGTGAAGTTATTATCATAGGTGATACATTTCACGACTTTATACATTTGGATGGTGCAAATTCATCAAGTCAGTTATCTAGACGAGTTTTGAAACTATCTTTTTCTAGAACCATGTAATTTAGAATCACTGCCTATGGAGATTCATATTAAACCACTGAAATATAAACTGTATGAATACACCAGGAAATAATCTATTTTCTAATTAATGAACTAGTTAGTTCAACTAGTTGGTTCAACTATCATAGATACCATAGAAACTGAAACCCAATCGAATGTTAAAAACCTTGAGTTGTGTATTTCCTCGGATCATCTTTCCTGGTCTTTCAACATCGTCTTAGTTTCCAGAGAGATATCGCTTTCAACGTTCTGCGTAAGGAAGTTAAGAAAATCTGGTACCAATCAGCCTCTTATTTCACAGTTTACTAATTCTTGCATTTCATATATTCTTCTTCGTCGTTCACCCCCACCCCACTCTAATCTCTCCTGGGCTAATCGCGAAAGATGTTGTCATCCTGAAAAGACAACTAAACGCCGTCAGTATGGAGAGTGAAGTATTGCTAAGCCAACTTGCTAATACTGTTGTAGACAGTGGACAACTGGACTCATGCAAGAGATTAGCGGATATTATCTTCCCGGACTCCAAGCACCCTCTCCATACACAACTCCCCCCTTGCATCTCATCAGGTAGAGTTAGCAGTGACTATAGGAGTCTGTATGCTGCGACGACTAAGTATAAAGCCTCTGAGATACCTTATTTATCAGACACGCACTTTATTTGATGAGAAGTGTGTGAGGCAGGAAATTACCAACTTACTGAGGAAACGACCATCTTAACTTCATGATTACAACTACATAGGTCAAACTAGTAGGTCAGGAGTAGTCAGATTGTCAGAACATAAGAATTTAGCTAAGGTAAGAATGGTTGACCCCACTGGTGAAGACAAGTAATTTAGAAAAAAGCTCGGCAATTGCAATGCATGCATTAACACACAACCAGACAATAGCATGGTGGGAGAGGGTTAAAATTCTAAAAAGTAATCTAGGTAGGTGGAGGGCGAGAGAGGTTGATTACTGAATCCTTGTTCATCGAATCTACACCCAACACATGCAATAGGAATGATACATCACTCATACCTGAAATATGGAAAATATTACTACCAATCAAATCAAGTGAAAATCAAGTGCAAAACAATGGAACTATATAAATGAATTTAGGTAGTCGTGTGATTACCTTGATATGATTATGAGCAATAAATTGTACTCGAAACGTCATCAGTAAATATTACTGTATAACACTGTGAGACTTTATCAAAACAAAATTTACCCATAATGGAATTACACTCTACCACAGTGCACAAGTTTTATTCATATATTTTATGATCACATTCTTATTGAATATTATTATCAATGTAAGTGGCGTGTTTGGATTATTACCCTTGTGATGAGGAATTTAGGTGCAATCCCATACCGTAGTACATGCTGAGAATTCCACATTTGTAGCGAAAGTACTGTTTGGAATAAAGCTTATTATTGTTATTCGTTAAATTAGAAAAAAGCATTGAAAAGAAACAGCAACACAAATCACCTCTGTTCAGTTGAGAATGCTCTTTATAATCATAATTTTCTGACTGCTTATACCATGCTTGTATTGCATTAAGACCTGAAGGGGAAAACAAACGACACGATGGTTTATGAAAAGCACTAAGCAATACGCAAATGTACAAGATTTGTAGCAGTTGAATTATTTTTCATAAGAAAATACAAAACACAATTTTTAAAGTACAGTTCTATTATTGAATATATATCAAGGCGAGTGGTTTATTGGCTATATTAAACTTTAAGCACCAGTAAGTACCATTGGAGTGGGACCGCACCAATGACCTTGAAACGCTCAGTGATTAAGTTATTGAAACCTCGTCAATAATATCGTAATCATGAATAAAATATGTTTAATGAAATGTTATATTATTAAATGGGATATCTGGCAACTTTGAGGTTAGGGTTAGATTAGCTGATAAGGGCAACATTAGGGTTAGTTAGTTAGTCGTGACCAGTAAGGTGCAGCAAGTTGGGTGTGAGGACAAATACTCGCCGAAGACATTGGATAGCGGTCGCGCTGTCATGAATTGGTAGAAGTTAGAATTCATGGGTTGGCCATTGGATCGGGTGCCAGTGGCTTAGTGGTCTATTATTCAGCTTGCCTTGTAACCAGAAGGTCCTGGGTTCGAACCGTGGTGGTGGATGCGTACTGATGAAGAGTCCCAAACTAGGCTGACAAAACAGCTGTCCAGTACTCCCTGCAGGTTTTCCAATGGTTCTCTAACCAGTGTCAGCTCATGATGAAATCCTGTAACCAGGGTTAGTTAGAGTTAGATTAGGGTTAGTCTGGGAATATTTCCACTTTAGAGTTAGGTTCAGGAAAGATTAGGGTTATTGTTAGGTTTAGAAGACCTAGGTAATTACATGCATAGAATGCGGTTAAATTAATTTGTTGATACTCCAATCGAAAAATGAGAGGTATTTTTTGTCACACGTCAAAGAAGGGTATCCTGTGTAACAGTTTCATGCCTTTTATCTCATTACTTTCATGCATATATGTATTTTACACGCAAAAATCGCCTTTGTTATGTGTTTGATGCGTTCAGGGTCATTTGTCCTTTGATACTTACTGATGCTTAAAGTTTAAATTTGCCATTTATTTTCTGCTTGATGTTGTACTGTAAAAGAATTGTTGTAGATCCAGAAGATTGTCTCGTCAACAGTCCACTTGAGGTGTACATTGTTCAAGTAGTTATGAAGTAATCGTAACAAGAATAATGTGAATTTATTTGAATCATGCTTAATTACTGAAATGCATGACATATCTTTCTACGTGAAGAATAACATCTGAAGCATAAAAGAAGTAATACAGCCTATTTTTATATTATGTAACCCATGACTGTGCGATTCATAAACGATAAGGCTACCACTCAGTTAATGAATGAGTCAGAAGTGAATGACCTACATTTTGCAGATTCTGCCTATTTGTTATTAACTATAACCAGCATCTAATCGCATTTTTTCCCTCACGTTCCCAAGTGGAACATAGAGCTCCAAGCTAGTGGCTTGAAGTTTCTGTAGCAGTGTTTATTTTACAGGATGGGGTTGCTAGCCTCATGCCCGACCTTTCCTCTTTACCAGCATTATTTCTGGCTCAGCGAGGTGAAGGAGTGCGTCGGCCGGGGATCGAACCCCAGACCATGTGCATGACTCTAATCGCATTACTGAGTAATTATTATTAACGACTGTGTCACTCAAAAATCTACGCCTACTGTTATTACTGTTCTCTTGTGGTGACAGCTGTCTGCAAGCCAAAATTGTGGACAACAGTTTTCGTCAATGTTTACGTCCCGAATCAGAGTCATGAGAAAAAGCAATAACAAAGCTTAACCTCGAGAAATTCAACAACCAACAACAGCAGACTTCACGTGTGCAAATACGATTCGAAGATATATGGCTTAACTTTCTAAGAAACGGACATAAAGAAATGACAGAATAACCTTTAGCAAGAAAAAAAACCAATCAAAAGACGTTGCTTCTCTGCTAACAATAACGAGTAATAATCTACATAAAAATCTATAAATATCTGTTGATTTTCCCAACAAACGATCTGTTGCCTGGCCCTTGTCTTCTATCGTTACACTCTTGGGTTCCGAGTGGAACATAGGGCTTCAACAGCAAACCTCCACTTTGTCCTATTTTCTGCCATCCTCTTAAGCTGGTCCCATTATTGTCTATATTTTCTGATCTTCTTCTCGCACGATCTTCTTCATGTCACAGTCAGACACACAACTTGGATTTCAATCAACCAATAGTCTGGCGTGCGATATGATTCGACGGTCTCCTCAATGTGTGGGGGGTTGGTTCGTTCCCTGTATTTCCTGTCGTTACTTCTTTCTAGCGTACCAGTTGATCTTCATTACACAGCTAGCGAAGTGAGTTGTTGATAAAACTGTGCAATAGCCTGTTGGAAAAGCGTTTCATAACTCATTGGAAAAGTTTCATATCGAAGAAGTGACTGACTGACTTAACATTTGTATTGAAAAACCTAATCTTGTTGTTTATGGTGTGGAGCGAAGAAGATTGACAAATTGATTTCAGGAAGTTGAAGGTTTGTATTGCTTTTCAGATTCTGACTTTGACGCCTCCATCAATTCAGTGTGCCCGTAATTGAAACGGTGCTATTCAGATAAGTGAAAGAAGTAACCTATGTTGAATTTCTCCCGTTGATAAACGTTGGAACTGGTTGTTGTCAGTTGATTATATTCCCTTGAATTTTGATAAATCTACCCTGAAGACAATCACTGATGACTAGTAGGGGGTGAACGTACATTTTCAAACAAAGTGGTTAATTACTGTTACATTATTATTTTAGTTTCCTTCAGTTCCTAGAAGAAGATGTAGCTTCAGCCACACGTCTCCACTGCGTTCGCTACTCCGCAAACGTTTTCACCTGCCTCCTCATCTACCAACATGCTTTCATATTCTCTCCACATCACCTCCACCATGTCACCCTCGCACTCACAACCAACTAACTCACCGCTTACCATTCGACTTCCACTGGAATGATCGCCTGCCGAATGATGTCACTTACTTGATGGTTTTCTCACAGGATAGCCAGCCAATCCACCTCCATTTCTTCCTACATATTTGCTACACCATTGGTTCCTGATGAGTTGGTTTCACTCCCAGAGATCCCTCATTATTGCTGATCGTTGCTGGTCGGCCATCTGATTATGGGTAGTACCCAGCGAAGAGAGCTGGTGATGGAGGTCTGTAGTTTCTTCGAAGTGCCCTTCGTGACGCGCCAACTCTCTCATCCGTATAATGAGTAGCACTGACTTCACACTGGAGTTGAAAATCCTGATCTAGTTTTTCACGCTGAGTGTTTTTGATTTCCACACAGACTCGAGAGTAATGCAAGCTTGGCTTGACTTTCCAATGATCCTCGCTCTAGTGATATCCTCATCAGTTCCGTCCGCCTGTAGTTGAAACGACGATGCTTTCCAGGTAGCTGGTAGTAGAGGTTGCTTCTTTCAGTTTTCTCCCATTTATGCTGGTGGAATGTTGTCCGTTGCTGTTGTTGTTGCTGTTGCTGTTGGTCAGGAATCCTTCTCACCTCTGTCTTCCCTATGTTCACCTGAAGTCCTATCCTTGATACTTCTTTCAGTTTGTGGGAAGTCAGACATATATCATCGGCGGTATCCAGATCCTACAAGTATTTTGTGTGGATCAACTTTATGTCTGTCGCTTCGTTGCCCGCCATCTGTCTGTCACATTATCCAGTCTACCGCAATCCAGAAAATCATTGGAGAATTATGGCTACATGATCGCTATTAATCCTCTGACTGTTGTAATGCTTTAACAAAGTTCATAGTGAAATCGGTCAAATTCTCCTAAACCTGTTATATGGATTACAAGGAATTTTATTCATCAATGACAAGTGAACTCAGTACCTCATGAAATAAAACAAACAGTATAAGATGAAATAATTTTTCTAAAATTGCATTTTAAGTGTACATTTCTCAAATCGTTTTTTCAAGACTCCGCTATGTTAGTGATATCTTTTAAGTGAATATATTAGTCTAAAACTGGTGAAACTAAGTAAGTAATTAATTTAGCAAAATTTAATTGAATTAGTCATCCGTAATTGACTCAGAATACAATCGTTATGGCCAAACAGGTGTTCTGAAGAGCTCAGGAGTGCTTTTATAATAATTCTTTTGATTACAGCTTGATTCCACACCGTATTTTTAGGTACAGGTATGGAATTTTCAGCAAGTGATATTGGTAGCCCAAATTTTGCAGGTCGACCATAGATATCAGGTGTGCGTCGGCAGGGGATCGAACCCTGGACCATGTGCATAGACGTCGAGAGTCCTAACCACTGTGCCACCGACGCACATAATAAAGTAAAAAGTCAAGTTAAAATTTTTCGTCATCTGAAATTCAACGGATGATTCCGCTACTTCCTAACCCTCTTAACAGCATCACGCCTCCTGACTTGTGTGAGTACTTTGCTTTGGGGTAGATTTCGCTATGAATGAACATCAATTTAAAGAAGCATTGTAAACCAGCAAGTACTGGATAATTGTTTCGCTTTAGTATAGGAATCTTCAGCAGTAACCACCCAAGATCCCACAGAGAATTGTAACCAGAATCTTTTGATTACTTGACTATCCGGTTGACTATTCCGCTACCGGGTTGTAGTGTAATGACCAGTAAATCCTAACTTCTGTCAGTTTGCACAACTAGTATAAATAATTGTTAATTCATCAAATAATTAATAAAATACTGGTACGATAATAGTCGATAGTTCTTATAAGGTTCATAGAAGAGAGAGAGTAGAATTTCATTATGCCTTGTGAAATATCACTAAGTTATTTTTGTTTAGTAAAAATTGACCTTAATTGGTCACGATATGAATACGTGTCAAATGATTGCAATCATATGACAGATTTCAATAGCTAAATTATTTCTTTTTTTATTAGATACTTAATTATCTAAAATTTTGTTATACTGAACTACTGAGTTACACGTGGGCTGACTATTTTAATGCTAGTGTGATGTGTGCTACTGACAAGGTTTTGTAAGTAGTATACTGTTGTATGTGAAGTCTTC